GGCCCGACTGGGACCCCAACACTGATCGCGGTAGGGAAGCACTGGACAGGTATTGCCAGTTATTGCTGGGAGGGTTACGGGCAGCAGCACGGAAGCCAACTAATATGTCCAAAGTCAGTGAGGTTAAACAGGGCAAGGATGAGTCCCCAGCTGCATACTTAGAGCGCCTCTACGAGGCATATCGAACCTACACCCCTATCGACCCAGAGGATCCCAATAACCGGAGAGCCATCGTAATTGATTTCGTAGCCAATTCAGCTCCGGACATCCGTCGGAAGCTACAGAAACTTGAAGGTTTTGAGGGTAAAAATCTGACTGAACTCATGGAAGTGGCCAAGCGGGTGTTTGACTATCGTGAAGAGACTCAAGACAAGCAAACTCACACGGTCGCCAGGGCGGTAGTGGCAGCTTTAGCACAGGTTCCAGGGGAGGCTCAGAAGCAAGGGTGGAAAGGAAGGCGGGAGGGCCCAAACGCTGGGCGCCCCTATAAGGGTAAAGGCTTGGGAAGGCCTCCTTTAGCTCGGGATCAGTGTGCTTACTGCAAAGCCATGGGTCATTGGAAATCTGAGTGCCCTAATCGCGGGCTGAAAGAGAAGGCAGAGCCGTTATTGACTTTGAATACAGACTAGGGGTGCCCCGGCTCAAAGTCCGTTGTGACTCTTGACCCCCTGGAGCCGAGGGTTACTCTCAGTGTTGGGGGTCAACCTGTCTCATTCCTAGTCGACTCTGGAGCTGCGGCATCGGTCCTGAAATCCCCACTGGGCTCCCTCTCATCGTCCACTGTGCAGGTCCAGGGAGCTACTGGACGAAAACAGTCTGTACCCCTCACCACTTCTCGGGAAGTCCGGTTAGGGAAGGGCCTAGTCTCCCATTCTTTTCTAGTAATGCCTGATTGCCCTTACCCCTTGCTTGGCCGAGATCTCCTACACAAGCTTCAGGCTATCATTTCCTTTAAGGGACCTAACCCCACTCTCGGGTTTAACCTGCCACAACTTGTTCTCACCTGCCCGTTGTCAGAGGAGTCTCGCCTCCTCCCCCTAACGTTTTCCCCAGACCACCCCTCGACCACCTCCACCCCTACCTCCCTAACTCTGTTGAACCATTTCAAAGGCTTGGTTCCTGGAGTCTGGGCTGAGACCAACCCGTTTGGTCTAGCAGGACACCAGCCCCCAGTGGTGGTCCAGCTCTCGTCCACAGCAACCCCTGCGCGTGTCCAACAATACCCGTTGACTCGAGCTGCCCTTTTGGGCATCAAGCCTCACATCGATCGACTCTTGGCGGCAGGCATTCTACGACCCTGCCAGAGCTCGTGGAACACCCCCCTACTTCCAGTTCGCAAGCCCGGGTCTGGAGACTTCCGTCCTGTCCAGGATCTACGAGAAGTCAACGCCCGGGTGGAAACTGTACATCCTACTGTGCCAAACCCATACACGTTGCTGTCTTCCCTGGACCCTGCTCGGACTTGGTATACTGTTTTGGACCTGAAGGATGCTTTCTTTTCCATTCCCTTGGCACCAGTAAGCCAACCTATATTCGCTTTTACTTGGACAGATCCTAACACTGGGACATCCTCTCAGCTCACCTGGACCCGGCTTCCCCAAGGTTTTAAGAACTCCCCTACACTTTTTGGCTCAGCTCTGGCCTCCGACCTGGCCGTCTTCCGGGTCTCGTATCCGGAGGTCACTCTCCTCCAGTATGTTGATGACCTTTTGTTAGCTACTTCCTCTGAGGCAATATGCAAAGATGCAACTCTCCACCTTCTCCAGCTGCTTGAAGCTTCCGGATATCGTATCTCTGGAAAGAAAGCACAACTGTGCTCTCAATCCGTTGTTTACTTGGGTTTCACCCTTCGTTCTGGTCAAAGGTTACTGTCTCGGGGGCGTGTAGCTGCCATTTTGGGCATGCCCGCCCCGAGGGACCGCCGCGGGCTCCGGGAATTCCTGGGGATGGCTGGATACTGTCGCCTCTGGATCTTGGGGTTTGCCGAGGTTGCCAAACCCCTATATGAGGCCCTAACTGGTGAACCCACCCAATTTGTTTGGGGACCACGGCAGCAGGAAGCATTCGACAAGCTCCGAAAGGCGCTGTCCAGCACGCCTGCCCTCTCCCTGCCAGACCTGTCCAAGCCCTTCCGCCTCTATGTGTCTGAGTCTCGAGCTGTGGCCAAAGGGGTTCTGACCCAGCCCCTGGGGCCCTGGAATCGTCCTGTTGCCTATCTCTCCAAGCAGCTGGACCCTGTGGCTTCCGGGTGGCCCTCTTGCCTGCGAACTGTGGCGGCCGTTGCCGTCTTGGTTAGGGAAGCCGCAAAGCTCACTTTCGGGCAGCCTCTTGAGATTTCAGCATCACATCATCTGGAACAGCTTTTACATTCCCCGCCGACAAGATGGATCTCAAATTCACGCCTGACTCATTACCAATCCTTACTCCTAGATTCCGCGCGCATCTCTTTCGCTCCTCCGGTCACACTCAACCCGGCCACCCTGCTCCCTGACTCCCCTCCTTCCTCCCCTATACATGACTGCCTGGACACACTGGACTCCATCCACACGTCCCGCCCTGGACTTACTGATGTTCCTTTAACAAACCCCGACCTAGTGCTCTTCACAGACGGCAGCAGTTTTGTTCAGGAGGGGATCCGTAGGGCGGGTGCAGCCGTGGTCACTCCGGTTGAGACCCTCTGGGATACCGCTCTACCCCCTGGCACATCTGCTCAACGTGCTGAACTCATTGCCTTAACTCAAGCCCTTAGACTCTCTGCAGGGAGGCGAGTAAATATTTACACAGATAGCCGCTATGCCTTTGCCACTGTTCATATCCATGGATATGTATATCTCCAAAGGGGTCTGTTAACCTCGGCGGGAAGGGAGATTAGGAACAAGAGTCAGATCCAGGACCTGCTGGATGCTGTCTGGCTTCCCAAGGAGGTGGCGGTAATTCATGTTCCTGCTCACACCCGTGGAACTGACCCCCAGTCTCTAGGGAACGCAGCAGCGGATAAGGCTGCCCGAGCGGCTGCCTGCAAACCCTTGATACCCGCTATGGTCGTGGAACCTGAGCGGATGCTTCCTGTCCAACCATCTTATCAATCCAGTGATCCGGATGGCACCCCTGAAAAGGGGGGATGGAGAAGACACCCAAATGGCTTGCTAATTCTGCCCAAGGCACTGTTGCTACCCCTATTGATGACTCTTCATAGCCTTACCCACTTAGGCGGAACCCGGCTTTACGACCTGGTGAGCCGACACTTCTACAGCCCTGGGATGAAGCAGGCGGCCGAGGAAGCCGCAAGAAGGTGCCTTGCATGTGCCAAAGTCAACCCACGATCACAATCAAGGATACCAACTGATAGACCACGAGGAACATTTCCTGGCGACCATTGGGAAGTAGACTTTACTGACATGGGAACTGGGTTGGGAGGGTACCGTTTTCTCCTTGTATTCGTGGACACATTTTCTGGATGGCCGGAAGCATTTCCAGTCAAAACTGAAACTGCAACCGTAGTGGCCAAAAAGCTGTTCTTTGAACTTATTCCTAGATTTGGCCTGCCGGCCTCGATAGGCTCTGACAACGGCCCAGCATTTGTATCTGCAACAATTCAAAGCCTATCAAAGATGCTGGGATTGAAATGGAAATTGCACTGTGCATATAGGCCTCAAAGTTCAGGGCAGGTAGAAAGGATGAATAGAACTCTAAAGGAACACATTGCTAAACTTAAAATAGAAACTGGCGATAGCTGGGTCAGTCTCCTTCCCTTCACCCTCCTCCGGGCCCGGTGTACTCCCAATTCCTCAACCCTCTCTTTATCTCCATACGAGATCCTCTATGGAGCCCCTCCTCCTATTATTCCAAGAGTATCTGCAGCTATTTCAGCCCCAGATTTTACTAATCCGACTCTTCTTAAGTCCTTCCAGGCTTTGCGTGAGGTCCAGAACGCTGTACGCTCGGTCCTGAAAGCTGCGGGGAAAGAACCAGCCCCTGCAACCTCATCAGACGCCCTGTCACCGGGAGACTGGGTCCTCACTCGCAAGCTTCCAGCTGGACCAGCCCTGGAACCACGGTGGACGGGCCCGTATCAAATTATCCTCTGCAACCCCTCTGCCGTCAGGGTTGCCGGCCGCAAGGCATGGATACATCGGTCACCCATCAAGAAGGCCCCAGAGCCCAACTCCACCGCCTGGACAGCAGAAGCAGTGTCCGACCTAAAGCTTCGACTCTCCAGAACTTGACTCTTCTTCTCTTTCTTTTTGCTTGTGAGGTGACTTTGGGTGACCCCTATAGCCCTACCCCATCCAGGTGGATTCTCTCCCGAACTAACGATGGGACCACCGTCCAAGCTCTCACCAGTTACGGAGCCCCCACTTTCAGGTTTGACCTCTGTGCCCTCTTGGGACCAGGATGGAATCAAAACCGGGCTATGCGGGACCCTATCGCTGGGGGATGGGGATACTGCCCCACTTTTCCCACCACTCCAACCATACCCGGGGTAGGGGAAGTGAGAATCAGAAGTATTGAATTCTATGTTTGTCCGGCCACGGGGAATCCTTCCTGTCAGGGTAGTAATCACTTTCACTGCGCAGAATGGGGTTGTGAGACTGTGGCCAGGTGGATTCCTAGAGGTGGCCGAGACCCCCTAATCACCCTGGAGAGACAAAGCCCCCTCCCCGCCTCCTGCTGGCCTGGGAAATGTAACCCTATGATTCTAACAGTCAAGCAGGACACTGATGACTCTTGGAATCTCGGACATTCTTGGGGTTTGAGGTTATACATGACTGGATGGGATAACGGGGTCCTTTTTACCATTCAGAAAATCGCAGTTTCCACCCATACACTCCCCATAGGACCGAATCCCATCCTTAACCCACAAGCCATGTTGACTCTCACCCCACCATCTGTTAGGGACCTGGTACCAGAGGCTCCCGAAAATCCAGAGACCCTCACTAACCTAGGTTCCCCCATTTTTGATACACTCTCTGCTGTCCACTCATTCCTAAATTTGTCTGATCCAAACATAACCACCTCCTGTTGGCTGTGTCTGAATCCAGCTCCCCCCCTATTTCGTAGGAATTGCTATCGAACTCAACATCACCTCTGTGGGAAAGTTGTCTTTAAGTAAGTCCAAACAATCCTCTGCCATACCTGCCCGCTGTAACCCAGACAAGCCTAGACTTACCCTAGACGATGTCCAGGGCAAAGGAATGTGTTTGCTCGGGCCTGACTACCCGCTGCGGTCCTCCCCATTCAATGCTACGTGCACTTCAGTCATTCTTATTTCCCCCACATCCAAAAGCTCTGACCTCCTGTTAACCGCCCCACCTGGAGTATGGTTCGCTTGTACCAGAGGACTCACCACCTGCATACAGGACATTCGTTTCCTCAACCCGACCGAGCTCTGTGTAGTGGTGCGTGTCTTTCCTCAGGTATATGTCTACTCAGAGGAAGGGGCAGCTGAGCATATTGGCTTAACTCGCTCCAGGAGGGCTGTACCCTTTTTGGTTCCCATACTGGTGGGACTCGGAGTGGCCGGCTCCGCTGCTGTTGGGGCCTCAGCCCTGATACAGGGGAAAGCCAACTACGGTGCCTTGAGTGCACAGGTAGATAGGGACCTACGCTCCTTGGAAGAGCTAGTCTCACACCTTGAAACTTCCCTAGACTCTCTGGCCGAAGTGGTTCTCCAGAACCGCCGAGGCTTGGACCTACTGTTCCTCAAACAGGGAGGCTTATGCATGGCGTTGGGAGAAACCTGCTGTTTCTACGCCAATCGGTCTGGAGTTATTCGGGAGTCCTTGCAAGCCTTTAGGCAGCGGTTAGATGAGAGGGACCGCGCACGGGCAACGGGGTCTTTTTGGTATCAGACCCTATATAATTGGTCCCCCTGGCTAACCACCCTACTCTCCGGAGTGGTGGGCCCTCTGGCCCTTCTCCTCCTTGGGTTACTCGTGGCCCCTTGTCTCATAAAATGCATCACCCGCTATGTCCAGAAACGAGTGCAAGCACTCCAGTTGTTTGTCCTGCGTCAATCCTATGCTCCTCTGGACTCTGATGAGTCCCCCGTCTGACTCTTTTCGTCCGTGAAAAGGGGGGAGTGAAGTGGACTGAGTTGTCACAAAAAAAAAAACAAAACCCCTAGCCTAACCTCCTCAGTTTCTACTTCAAAGGATCGCTAATCCCAATTGTAAACTGCTCTACCTCAAAGGATCGCTAATCCACAATTGTAAATTCCTCTACCTCAAAGGATCGCTAATCTACAATTGTAAATTCCTCTACCTCAAAGGATCGCTAATCTACAATTGTAAATTCCCCTACCTCAAAGGATTGCTAAATCCACAACTGTAAACTGCTGGGTATAAAGTTTTGTTATTTCCCTTGCTTGGGACTGCTCTCCTAGGATTGCATCCAGGGGACAGTCGCCGGCCGGCTCCAGTAAATGCTCTCTATTTTCTAATTTGGCGTGTGTCTGGTTACTCTCGGCCCGTCCATTTCATTTGGAGGTCCCACCGAGATCGCCCTCTGGGCACCAGACACGGGCATCTCTGGAAGGCCAGGCTTCTCACCGTCCAGGGGGTGGCCACCAGGAAGACGTTCCCTGGCCCCGAACGCTGAGATAGCCCGTGCGTACCAGGCTGCCCGGACCACAAATCCTCAATTGGGCATAGAGCAATCTGTAATCTGTCTGTTCTGGTGAGTACTCTTCTGAAGTAAGTGGCCAGGCTGGACGCAGCTGCAACGCCCTTACTGACCTCCACGGGACGCCGTGTGAGAGTCCTGCCTGTCTGATTGTGTCTGTCCGGCACCGATGTCACTGTGTGTGTGTGTGTCCACTGTGCGCTCCGTGGCGGGGTGGGGGAGAAAGACTTCCTGCCTCATTCTCCAGGTTGTTCGGAACTAAGACGGGTTTGTTCTCTGCTACTGTGTCAGGAGCATCCAGGGTTTTGACTGTGTCTTTTTTCCGTTTTTGTGTCGACTGTGTGTGCGCATCTATCTACTATTTGTTCCGTGAGGGGGGGTGTAAATTCCTGTCTCATTGTCTAGGTCGTTCGGAATTGAGGCAGTTTGATTCCCCTCTACCCTGTTTTGACTGTGTCTTCCCTGTGTCCGTGTTTGGTCCTTGCTTACGTGAGCACGTCTATTTGTTACTCTTTTCTTTCTCAGTCCTTAATCCACCATGGGACAAGGACCCTCGAGCCCTAAGCCAGGCTCCCCTCTCTTTATTGTCTTACGGGACTTCAAACAATATCGGCGTATAGCAGAAGGTTATGGGTTTCAGGTTACTAAAAAGAAATTAGCTCTCCTTTGCCAACAGGAATGGCCCACCTTCGAGGTAGGCTGGCCCCCGGGGGGTACGTTTGACGTCTCGGTGGCCGGCCGGGTCAGGGGAATTGTCTATGGTATACCTGGCCACCCCGATCAGGTCCCCTATATCACCGCCTGGATTGATTTCAAACCCCCTTCGGGACCACTACAGGTCCAGGCCCTTTCAAAACTAAGACCAGGAACGGAATCAAAGACGACCTTTAGCCGCAAGCCTCCCGAAAGTCCTAAGGTCGTCACACAGCTTACTCCTGTCTTACCACCCCCTGATTCTGACCCCCTAGATCCAGCTGAGTACTCCCAGTCCCAGGTTTCAGATCCACCCCCGTACCCAACCTCAGGGTCTCTGAGCCCCTCAGCCCCTCCTCTGATAAGTCCACCCCATACTCAAGCAGGTGCTCCTTATGGCCCTTCTAATTCCAGTTTGACCCCAGATTCCACTGTGTCAGCGTTTCCCCTGCGGCAAGTTCCTTCCCCTCCCGGAGAATCAGGGAGACCGTTCATGGTATATGTTCCCTTCTCCACCAGTGATTTGTACAATTGGAAACAGCAAAACCCATCCTTCTCTGATAAGCCCCAGAGCCTAATCTCCCTCCTAGAGACTGTCTTTTATACTCATCAGCCCACCTGGGATGACTGCCAGCAGCTCCTCCGGGTTCTTTTTACAACCGAGGAGCATGACAGGATTCTTTTAGAAGCCAGGAAGGGAGTCCTGGACCCAGATGGACATCCCTCTACTGACCTGGGGCGCCGCAACCACATCTTTCCTGAGAACCGGCCCGACTGGGACCCCAACACTGATCGCGGTAGGGAAGCACTGGACAGGTATTGCCAGTTATTGCTGGGAGGGTTACGGGCAGCAGCACGGAAGCCAACTAATATGTCCAAAGTCAGTGAGGTTAAACAGGGCAAGGATGAGTCCCCAGCTGCATACTTAGAGCGCCTCTACGAGGCATATCGAACCTACACCCCTATCGACCCAGAGGATCCCAATAACCGGAGAGCCATCGTAATTGATTTCGTAGCCAATTCAGCTCCGGACATCCGTCGGAAGCTACAGAAACTTGAAGGTTTTGAGGGTAAAAATCTGACTGAACTCATGGAAGTGGCCAAGCGGGTGTTTGACTATCGTGAAGAGACTCAAGACAAGCAAACTCACACGGTCGCCAGGGCGGTAGTGGCAGCTTTAGCACAGGTTCCAGGGGAGGCTCAGAAGCAAGGGTGGAAAGGAAGGCGGGAGGGCCCAAACGCTGGGCGCCCCTATAAGGGTAAAGGCTTGGGAAGGCCTCCTTTAGCTCGGGATCAGTGTGCTTACTGCAAAGCCATGGGTCATTGGAAATCTGAGTGCCCTAATCGCGGGCTGAAAGAGAAGGCAGAGCCGTTATTGACTTTGAATACAGACTAGGGGTGCCCCGGCTCAAAGTCCGTTGTGACTCTTGACCCCCTGGAGCCGAGGGTTACTCTCAGTGTTGGGGGTCAACCTGTCTCATTCCTAGTCGACTCTGGAGCTGCGGCATCGGTCCTGAAATCCCCACTGGGCTCCCTCTCATCGTCCACTGTGCAGGTCCAGGGAGCTACTGGACGAAAACAGTCTGTACCCCTCACCACTTCTCGGGAAGTCCGGTTAGGGAAGGGCCTAGTCTCCCATTCTTTTCTAGTAATGCCTGATTGCCCTTACCCCTTGCTTGGCCGAGATCTCCTACACAAGCTTCAGGCTATCATTTCCTTTAAGGGACCTAACCCCACTCTCGGGTTTAACCTGCCACAACTTGTTCTCACCTGCCCGTTGTCAGAGGAGTCTCGCCTCCTCCCCCTAACGTTTTCCCCAGACCACCCCTCGACCACCTCCACCCCTACCTCCCTAACTCTGTTGAACCATTTCAAAGGCTTGGTTCCTGGAGTCTGGGCTGAGACCAACCCGTTTGGTCTAGCAGGACACCAGCCCCCAGTGGTGGTCCAGCTCTCGTCCACAGCAACCCCTGCGCGTGTCCAACAATACCCGTTGACTCGAGCTGCCCTTTTGGGCATCAAGCCTCACATCGATCGACTCTTGGCGGCAGGCATTCTACGACCCTGCCAGAGCTCGTGGAACACCCCCCTACTTCCAGTTCGCAAGCCCGGGTCTGGAGACTTCCGTCCTGTCCAGGATCTACGAGAAGTCAACGCCCGGGTGGAAACTGTACATCCTACTGTGCCAAACCCATACACGTTGCTGTCTTCCCTGGACCCTGCTCGGACTTGGTATACTGTTTTGGACCTGAAGGATGCTTTCTTTTCCATTCCCTTGGCACCAGTAAGCCAACCTATATTCGCTTTTACTTGGACAGATCCTAACACTGGGACATCCTCTCAGCTCACCTGGACCCGGCTTCCCCAAGGTTTTAAGAACTCCCCTACACTTTTTGGCTCAGCTCTGGCCTCCGACCTGGCCGTCTTCCGGGTCTCGTATCCGGAGGTCACTCTCCTCCAGTATGTTGATGACCTTTTGTTAGCTACTTCCTCTGAGGCAATATGCAAAGATGCAACTCTCCACCTTCTCCAGCTGCTTGAAGCTTCCGGATATCGTATCTCTGGAAAGAAAGCACAACTGTGCTCTCAATCCGTTGTTTACTTGGGTTTCACCCTTCGTTCTGGTCAAAGGTTACTGTCTCGGGGGCGTGTAGCTGCCATTTTGGGCATGCCCGCCCCGAGGGACCGCCGCGGGCTCCGGGAATTCCTGGGGATGGCTGGATACTGTCGCCTCTGGATCTTGGGGTTTGCCGAGGTTGCCAAACCCCTATATGAGGCCCTAACTGGTGAACCCACCCAATTTGTTTGGGGACCACGGCAGCAGGAAGCATTCGACAAGCTCCGAAAGGCGCTGTCCAGCACGCCTGCCCTCTCCCTGCCAGACCTGTCCAAGCCCTTCCGCCTCTATGTGTCTGAGTCTCGAGCTGTGGCCAAAGGGGTTCTGACCCAGCCCCTGGGGCCCTGGAATCGTCCTGTTGCCTATCTCTCCAAGCAGCTGGACCCTGTGGCTTCCGGGTGGCCCTCTTGCCTGCGAACTGTGGCGGCCGTTGCCGTCTTGGTTAGGGAAGCCGCAAAGCTCACTTTCGGGCAGCCTCTTGAGATTTCAGCATCACATCATCTGGAACAGCTTTTACATTCCCCGCCGACAAGATGGATCTCAAATTCACGCCTGACTCATTACCAATCCTTACTCCTAGATTCCGCGCGCATCTCTTTCGCTCCTCCGGTCACACTCAACCCGGCCACCCTGCTCCCTGACTCCCCTCCTTCCTCCCCTATACATGACTGCCTGGACACACTGGACTCCATCCACACGTCCCGCCCTGGACTTACTGATGTTCCTTTAACAAACCCCGACCTAGTGCTCTTCACAGACGGCAGCAGTTTTGTTCAGGAGGGGATCCGTAGGGCGGGTGCAGCCGTGGTCACTCCGGTTGAGACCCTCTGGGATACCGCTCTACCCCCTGGCACATCTGCTCAACGTGCTGAACTCATTGCCTTAACTCAAGCCCTTAGACTCTCTGCAGGGAGGCGAGTAAATATTTACACAGATAGCCGCTATGCCTTTGCCACTGTTCATATCCATGGATATGTATATCTCCAAAGGGGTCTGTTAACCTCGGCGGGAAGGGAGATTAGGAACAAGAGTCAGATCCAGGACCTGCTGGATGCTGTCTGGCTTCCCAAGGAGGTGGCGGTAATTCATGTTCCTGCTCACACCCGTGGAACTGACCCCCAGTCTCTAGGGAACGCAGCAGCGGATAAGGCTGCCCGAGCGGCTGCCTGCAAACCCTTGATACCCGCTATGGTCGTGGAACCTGAGCGGATGCTTCCTGTCCAACCATCTTATCAATCCAGTGATCCGGATGGCACCCCTGAAAAGGGGGGATGGAGAAGACACCCAAATGGCTTGCTAATTCTGCCCAAGGCACTGTTGCTACCCCTATTGATGACTCTTCATAGCCTTACCCACTTAGGCGGAACCCGGCTTTACGACCTGGTGAGCCGACACTTCTACAGCCCTGGGATGAAGCAGGCGGCCGAGGAAGCCGCAAGAAGGTGCCTTGCATGTGCCAAAGTCAACCCACGATCACAATCAAGGATACCAACTGATAGACCACGAGGAACATTTCCTGGCGACCATTGGGAAGTAGACTTTACTGACATGGGAACTGGGTTGGGAGGGTACCGTTTTCTCCTTGTATTCGTGGACACATTTTCTGGATGGCCGGAAGCATTTCCAGTCAAAACTGAAACTGCAACCGTAGTGGCCAAAAAGCTGTTCTTTGAACTTATTCCTAGATTTGGCCTGCCGGCCTCGATAGGCTCTGACAACGGCCCAGCATTTGTATCTGCAACAATTCAAAGCCTATCAAAGATGCTGGGATTGAAATGGAAATTGCACTGTGCATATAGGCCTCAAAGTTCAGGGCAGGTAGAAAGGATGAATAGAACTCTAAAGGAACACATTGCTAAACTTAAAATAGAAACTGGCGATAGCTGGGTCAGTCTCCTTCCCTTCACCCTCCTCCGGGCCCGGTGTACTCCCAATTCCTCAACCCTCTCTTTATCTCCATACGAGATCCTCTATGGAGCCCCTCCTCCTATTATTCCAAGAGTATCTGCAGCTATTTCAGCCCCAGATTTTACTAATCCGACTCTTCTTAAGTCCTTCCAGGCTTTGCGTGAGGTCCAGAACGCTGTACGCTCGGTCCTGAAAGCTGCGGGGAAAGAACCAGCCCCTGCAACCTCATCAGACGCCCTGTCACCGGGAGACTGGGTCCTCACTCGCAAGCTTCCAGCTGGACCAGCCCTGGAACCACGGTGGACGGGCCCGTATCAAATTATCCTCTGCAACCCCTCTGCCGTCAGGGTTGCCGGCCGCAAGGCATGGATACATCGGTCACCCATCAAGAAGGCCCCAGAGCCCAACTCCACCGCCTGGACAGCAGAAGCAGTGTCCGACCTAAAGCTTCGACTCTCCAGAACTTGACTCTTCTTCTCTTTCTTTTTGCTTGTGAGGTGACTTTGGGTGACCCCTATAGCCCTACCCCATCCAGGTGGATTCTCTCCCGAACTAACGATGGGACCACCGTCCAAGCTCTCACCAGTTACGGAGCCCCCACTTTCAGGTTTGACCTCTGTGCCCTCTTGGGACCAGGATGGAATCAAAACCGGGCTATGCGGGACCCTATCGCTGGGGGATGGGGATACTGCCCCACTTTTCCCACCACTCCAACCATACCCGGGGTAGGGGAAGTGAGAATCAGAAGTATTGAATTCTATGTTTGTCCGGCCACGGGGAATCCTTCCTGTCAGGGTAGTAATCACTTTCACTGCGCAGAATGGGGTTGTGAGACTGTGGCCAGGTGGATTCCTAGAGGTGGCCGAGACCCCCTAATCACCCTGGAGAGACAAAGCCCCCTCCCCGCCTCCTGCTGGCCTGGGAAATGTAACCCTATGATTCTAACAGTCAAGCAGGACACTGATGACTCTTGGAATCTCGGACATTCTTGGGGTTTGAGGTTATACATGACTGGATGGGATAACGGGGTCCTTTTTACCATTCAGAAAATCGCAGTTTCCACCCATACACTCCCCATAGGACCGAATCCCATCCTTAACCCACAAGCCATGTTGACTCTCACCCCACCATCTGTTAGGGACCTGGTACCAGAGGCTCCCGAAAATCCAGAGACCCTCACTAACCTAGGTTCCCCCATTTTTGATACACTCTCTGCTGTCCACTCATTCCTAAATTTGTCTGATCCAAACATAACCACCTCCTGTTGGCTGTGTCTGAATCCAGCTCCCCCC